CTTTTGCATGAGGCTTGTATGCCTTTTTAACTGTTATCGACACTTAAAACTGGCCGTTTAAGGTGGCTGAACACAGTTTTGTGCGCGGTCAGCGGAAACTTGCGTGGCGGCGCGTGTTTTAAATTAGACAAGCAAACATGGCGGCGAAAAAAACAATGGTACAGAGAAGACGATTTCTCAAAATCTAAACATTAAAATTTTGTGATATTTGGCAGAATTTTTCCTTTTATCGTATTTTAAATAATGAGAACTTTAAAATGGAAGTTGAACAGACGAATTTTGCGACACATTTAATAATTACAGTAAAATTATATTATTGATTATCTAAAAACCCGTCAGTTAAAATTTGGTCAAATAAGTTTCAAATGGTAATGATTACTTATAGTAAGCTGTGTGCAAGTTTATAGCAAAATCTAATGAGCGAATTTTGTGTAAACTGAGCAAAAGTGAAATTTTAGGGTTGTATTCAATCGTTCATGTTGCCATGGAAACTACGAAAACGCCACATTTTACCTGTCAATCAAAATCTTTCATCAATGTATTTTTCACTTGCCAAGTTTCAGCTTGTGAGCTGCAACCTTTCTCTTGCCATGATTTGGCAAATAACATATAGTCACAAAATGCCAAAACTGTGTTCAGCCACCTTAAGGCCTGGTTTAAGAACTTGACTGACTTAAAAAACCGTCGCGAACATGCGCTATTATCGTTGGACTTTGGAAGCTTTAAGCCCAAAATGATGGTGCAATCTCGAGAAATTTGCCCGGGTCTAATTTTAAGACAGGGAACGGGTACTAAGAAAGGGACGGTCTCATTTAGCAACCCGTGGACACTCTGGGCATTCTTGCCTTCTGTCGCAGGGGTAACCTTTAAGGCCAGGTACGCCGCCCCCACCCGAGAGGATTGCATGGCATCCACCATTTCAGTCGCTTTTTTTACATCATGACCTTCAATTATTATGAATTATAATGCGGGCCTTGATCGTTGCCACCTTACCAGAAGTCTAATCTTCGTACTGTTAGACCATGAGAATCTCTATTATTATTCCATAAATGCACCATTGACTTTTCCTTGCTCAGCTTCCGGTAAACCGACACTCCGAAACATAGTTAATTGAGTGGAATGGTTATGAAACCCGTCAGACTCCTTTGTTATATGTTTTTGAGGACCTGAAAGTGCACAATGTTCAAAAGATTTCCTATCATTTTGATTGTATTGACCAATAAAAACGTTGCATTAATTTATTCCGTAACAATTTACCAACAGAAAACAAAGGATTGTGCACTTTCACGGTACTTCCAACAGAAACTGCAGCACTGTTGTTCTTATCATTGATGTTTGCCGCTTTTCATAACCAGTCTCCTCTAATAACTATATCCCAAGCAAAAATAGCTTTACAACGACTCTATCCAGGCCAGAACTCCTGATATCAACAAATATACCCCCCCCCCCCTCTAAAGAAAGCAAACGTTCCCCGAACTATTCACTTGACCCACCCCATCCCTTCGTTAAGAAAAACTACGCACTCAGTTCACTGGACAAAACGCGCTCGTAAATATACCAAACTATAGCCGTTCATCCTACAAGCAATCTCAGTTTCAGCAGGCGTGGCCACGTTTCCAGTTGCTGTAAGATTAATTCGACACCTGCAACAGACACTGTAAATTAAATAGAGTGTTTTCACTCACGTGGCCAGCATCTATACAAATTTATTGGAACAAAAGAAAGCGTTTGCATAAGAAAGGAGTTCAACTCCCTCAGGACTGGTTTGGGACGCCAATATGGCCGCCGTGACGTCATGTGAAAACACTCTATACCTTGAAACTGTCAGGACGAGAAAGTTTATAAAAGACTTAACAGGTGTGCGCGGCGGTTTCCTTTTCTTCCTTTCCTCCCATTGCAGCACTCAAATTCTGACCCTGATATTAATTCTAGTAGTAATTAATCGTTCCTGAGCCGATAGGCACAAGGATACCAGTTTCTTGCAAAATATGCTGTGACATCCGTTTGCTCATCCCCTTTTCTGCCTTCGGCCGTTGATTAGGTTTGGTTCTGTGCTTTGAAATAACTTTAGGAACGAACATGATACGTGAGGGGCGTGTCCGGCTAAGGGCAAGTGACTGTACCACGTCGCGAAAATAGAACAAGCCAAAGAAAAATAAGACGCCTTTCTTTCCCCAGGCCACGCAGGTTTTTCGCATTACTTTTTACTGCACAACTGATTCTACCTTTTCGAGCCGGAGCGAACATGGACGCCCTCCACTTCATTTTCGGCACCTGACTAAACGCAAGCGCTGACTTGTGCGCCTATGCTTCGTTTGCACTGAAGTAGCAGTATATGACCACGACAGACTTGCTGCTATCCTTGGTTTGAAACCGCAATGGGCAAGAACAATTTCTTGAAAAGAGCAAACTATTTCCTCCTTAGCAGACATGGAGAACAACTACTAGGACTTAAGCAATACCATTGCTTAAGTCCTACTAGACTTGAAAAGAGAAAGCACGATGCTGTCTCTTTTTTATGATTTACGGCTAAACAGTACAATTTCATGTAGCTTTTACGCAAAATTAAATACTTAGTTGTTTGCGGAATTGCATTTAACAACAAATTACAGAAATTTAACTAAGTTTAGATCTCATAGATAAGAATTGAACGGAAAAAACTTTTGGGGTAAAAAAGTCAAAAAATGTTTGCTGGAAAATCACTTAATGGACATAAATTATATACAATAGCAGAGATATCATGCCTGTAATTTTCCGTTCAATGCACCTTATGAGAAGTCTGACTAATCCACTGGTAACCCATGCCTTAAAACCGCCTTGAACCTTAAAATTTAATCCATTTGCCTTTCATGCGTAGTGCAAATATATCTTCTAAACACTCCGGGGTTGGGGGTAAAATCAGAAAAACAGAACATTCAGTTACTGTACCATTTTTAAAAGTGGGACAGTATGTTTCCTAATCATCTTAGTTAACCGCTTTTAAAATAGAACAAAAGGACACCTGGTCATACAGGAAAATGAATTTACTGTATCCCGAAAGCTTTGGTTTCCCGTGCACTTATTTTTCGCAGGAGACAATCGATAATTGCCTGGTCACGCAATCGGAGGTGAGTAAACTAATTAAAAGTCACTGATACCATCGCCGCTTAGCAAATACACTACGTGCTGCAAAGGATCCAAATTGCGCTAGAATGTTTTCCTATTCGGCCCACTTTTTATCTCAGGTAAGGTACTGCAAAGCGGATTCATTTACGAAGGTTCGAGCGAGAATTATTTCATGATGTTATTCTGATTTCGCAGTCACGGGAAAACAGACCTAGACTCAGGTCCACTCGCAGACGCCATGGCACAATCTACAAGATCTCACTACAGACATTACCCATTGAACTGCCTCTCCTTTTGAAGATTGCGTGTATTTCATTAAAACAGGTACATATTTAAAAAATCTTGTTAGTTTCTCCCTTTTAACGAGCTCAAATCGATGCATAAAACTAAGGTGACGTGCACGTGTCAACTGACCCTGGGGGCAATTAGCCAGCTGATTAGCGGTTGTTTGGGGCAAAATAACCTCAAAATAATCAATCTATTTTACAAGCGTTCGCGAGAACACCAGACTAACTTTCAGATAATGTTGAAGTACTATATCTCATTAGGAAGTAAGCGGGATTTGGGGTGATTTGGAGAATTCCCCCATATAGAAAATTCGATTTTGGTTTTAGCGGTAAATTGTTGTATTTATAAACATTATGCAAATTACTTTTGAAAATTGTGCTCGTTCGTCGATATTTTATCCTCTAAATCTAAAAAAATGTGCTGTTTAGAAATTGTTAATATCTGTTTTTTGAGATTTAAGCGGAAGATTGCCAATATATTCGCTCGTTTATGAAAGTCAGCTCATTTCTGTCGCTAGGCTATATTGCCGTGTTCGGCGGCTAATTTTAGGCCCGCGGACCGTTGAAATCGAAAATCTCAAATAATTCCCAAACTCGGCCACATTTTGAAATTTAAACCTCAGCAGTGTTATAAACTCATAAAAACCTTATTACAGACTTAAAATGAGGGTAGGTTAGGTTTTGAGCTGTGGCCACGGTTTGCTCGATTTTCCTGTGCATTCGCTCTTAAACATTTTAACACTATGCCTTTAGAAATAAAAAAAAAACTGATATTATGGTTAGTGCTCTTTGATGAGGTTTGTTTGATCTTCTTCATAACACTACAGGAGTATTTTGTTTAAGTAATGAGTTCAGCACAGAATTGAGCTAAAAGAGAGCTACCTTAGTAGTACGTAATTTCGCGATTTTGGCAAGACAGCATGTCGCGGGTTTTTATTTTCGCGATTTCACTGGGCAGTTATGAAAACAGGCATTAGATTTTGCGATGAAAGCGTTCTTAACCTGATTTTATTTTTCAAACGTCTGAACTTTTTAAAATATCGAGATAAAATGAAACAAGAAAAACGGAAATTAACGTTATTTTACAGCAGAAGACACAGTCAAGGAATGGTACTTACCAGTTAACCAACCACTAATTTGTCGGTATTTGTGCAGTATATATTGTAGCTGTTTCATTTTTTTTCTGTGATTTCAATTTTGTGTATGGGTATTTAATTTCGCTTGTTTAAGGTGGCTGAACACAGTTTTGGCAGTTTCTGAGTATAGGTCATTTGCCAAATCATGGCAAGAGAAAGGTTGCAGCTCACAAGCTGAAACTTGGCAAGTGAAAAAAAAAATGATGAAAGATTTTGAAAGACAGGTAAAATTTGACTTTTTCGTAGTTTCCATGGCAACACGAAGGATTGAAGACAACCTTAAAATTTCACTTTTACTCAGTTTACATAAAATTCACTCCTTAGATTTTCCTTTAAACTTGCACGCAGCTTACTATAATTAATCATTACCATTTGAAACTTATTTGACAGAATTTTAACAGACGGGTTTTTAGATAATCAATAATATGATTGTAGTGTAATTATTAAATGAGTCACAAAATTCGTCTGTTCAACTTCCATTTAAAAGTTCTCATTATACAAAATACGATAAAAGTAAAAATTCTGCCAAATATCACAAAATTTTAATGAGTAGATTTTGAGTAATCGTCATCTGTGTACCATTGCTTTTTTCGCCGCCATGTTTGTTTGTCTAATTTAAAACACGCGCTACCGCTGACCGCCCGCAAAACTGTGTTCAGCCACCTTAAATCTCGCGGGGATTTTTATTCGCGGGTCTTTAATTTCGCGATTTTTCCACAATTACGAAAACCGCGAAATTAGTACCAATAAGGTATATACTCGTGACGTAATCCCTTTAATGTTGGTAATTGATTTAATTATTGTAGGCGCCGGCGCAGGAAAGACAGCAAAGAGATCCAGGTCGTCGAGTAAAGGCAAAAGGCCGTTATCTTCATGTGCTGTTCCCGCTGCAAAACAACCGAAACTGTTGAAAGAGGAAGGTAAGGTTCGTTTCTGGTTTTTTTAGAGTAAGGGTTGGTTTGGCGTTACATGTGTGTGGTAGAGTTTAGGATGATCTTGTGTAGTCGGTCTCGTGTTTCTAAAATGCGGCTTCATAAGCTGCATAGCTCACGAAGTAAGAGTGTGACAAAACTTCCCGCCGGCTCAACTTGGCTCATCCTTATTCTTCTCGCAGCCCTAACGCCTAAACAAAAACACTTCTGAAATAAAGCACTTGTCTGGGTTCCTCTGCAGCACAGGGCAGTGGCTTTATTATTTGGGTCCCCTTTTCTAGTTGGACATCATGAAACTATAGTTTCGTGGCCTCGGTTGCACTTAGAGAAAATCTGGAGATTCTCATGTCTGGCACACTCTCCAAACTTCTGGCGTGCTTTGTAACACGATATGCTTAGCGTAAGACACAAGTAGAACGAGGCCACATCTAAGCCGAAAACCCTGGTTATGCTTTTATCACGTTACTTTCACTGTAAGAAACTAACTATTTAGCGCTAGCCTGTTGTCAGTCACATCAGCCTGCTGCGCTGACTTTCTCAGGGGTTCGTGACGCCCCAGGAAAGTCTGCGTGAGATGCTCGGCTGCTGAAAATCGAACCACATTCCGTATCGTTTCTATTTGCGGTGTAATGAACAAACCAATCACTTGTCAGAAAATTTAGAATGATCTCAGTTCTGTTTTGGAAGGCAAATGATTTTTATATTATTTTTTAAAGAAATGAACCGCAAAAGTGGAATGTTTTTATGGACAATGCATGGCACTTAGTTTTCATAAAAATGTAAGCGTTGATAGCATTTTCTTTTTCGCCAAATGTTACCATTGTCTCGGTGAAGCTTGTTGTGTCACGGATTAGCATTAAGTTTATCTTCGATAGTTTACGTTTAGCTTTATCCAGCTCCACAAATATTCTCCAAATAGCAGATGTTGCCCTCCGAGTTGTCTTCTTGCTGTTTTTGCCATGTTTTTAGCTATTATTTCACCTAGTTCCAGGTGTAGTTCTTACTCTTGAAACGAGTGAAGTGTCCGCCATTTTAGTTTTTACAACAAAAACAACTCAATCTCGTCCCCAGGTCTTATCGGTTAACGGTGCATTAACCTGTAGAAGGCTGCATTTTTGACGTCATTTCCTCGTTAAATCAGGACTCGAGGGAAAACAAAACTAACTGGTTTCCCGAGGGACCTGACATTAAGTGTTTTGTTATATTTCTAGACTTTCACTTCAACAGCAACAAAAGAAAAACCGGAGCGAACCAAAATAGTCGACTCGGTGCTTAAAACAACACAAATTTAATTCTCAAAAGTGTTGAATTAATGATTTACAAAGTACTTTCCTCATGTTATCTGCAACTTTTTCCTCCACTAGCTGCTGTTTTTTTCTGGGAACTTCTGGGATAACTTTAAACATCGTTGCTCTTTAGATTGAGGCTTCGTGTTTGTGTTGTTGTTTTCATTCAAATAAAACTGGCAGGACCTGTGTTTTTCCCGCCTTCTGTCACGCCACTTTCCACCATACTTTGATCACGTGCTGTAATGTATCCCTAGCGGGATACATTGCCTCATGTATCACGATCGGGATACATTTGATTTTAGTCAAGGCCACGTGACCAAGAATCAACCAATGGCAGTCCCTGTTTAGTTGAGTGAAAGTCTAAGAATATAACAGTTGTGTTTATTGACAAATATTCCCTCACCTTTTTATTTCCAGCAGGTTGGGACAACTCGGTTGTTGTTGAATTGCTCAAAGCTGAATACAAAAGGCGCTGTCTGTTAAGACCACTTCTTTGGGATAGCACTATCGAGTTACCCCTAGAGAACGTTTACACGAGACTGAAAATCATTTCAAGACGAAAGTTGGCCAGCCAGATGGAAGCCACTATGGCGAGTATGTTCCATGTCATAACCCCTGAAAAAGGTGCGAATGTCCTAACGCTAGCACAGGGAATTCCAGACTTGAGGGTGGACGTGAATAATGAGTTTAATGTGTTGGATTTCTTCAAAGCTCCTGATCAAGTTGAGGATGTCATGAGGCTAGTAGAGGGACAAAAACCAGACTCAGTGAGTGGAAATGACGAGGTGAACGTGACTGAAATCTTCAAGACCCTTGAGAAAGGTAAGGATGTCATGACGCTTGTCGAAGGAAGTCCAGGAATCGGTAAAACAACGTTTTGCCTTAAACTTGCGTATGACTCAACGCATGGAAAAATCCCAACAGAATGTTCCTTTCCCAAGTTTGAAGTTGTGCTGCTTCTCAAGTGTCGAGACATTGATGGAAATATAATGGACACCATAAGAGAACAACTTCTGCCCAGAGATATCGAGGAGAAGATTGTAGAGAAATTGTTGCACTTCTTGAAGGATATTCATAACCAGGAGAGAATTTTGATCATTTTGGATGGTTTGGATGAGCTACCTGAAAAATCACGGCACCATGTAGATGAGCTGCTTCACAGACGAATTTTCCCATTTTGCTATGTCTTGGCTACGTCACGACAAGAAAGAGGAATCGAAGCACGAAAATACTTTGTATTTGACATTCATTTAGAGATTAAAGGGTACACGGAAAGTGATGCTATTGAGTACGTAAGAAGACACTTTAAAACCATTTGTCAGTCACCAAAGGGGGAGAGGCTGATTGAGGAAATGCAACAGAACACCTTCTTGCATGCACTCCAAAATAACCCGTTAAATTTACTTCTCCTTTGTGTTGTTTATGAGGACTACGAGGGAAAATTGCCGACTTCCCGGACGGAACTTTACCAAGTCATTGTCCAATGTCTTTTGAGACGATACTGCGCCAAACGCAACTTACCCAATCCTGAAGATGACAGTGTCCTAGAGAAAACGTTTGAAAAGGAAGTTCTTGCACTCGGAGAGCTAGCTTGGGTATGCCTGCTGAGTGATCGCTATGGTTTCCCTGAAAATGAATTGGTTGAGTTTGAAAGGAAATACCCGGGATTGGTAGCTCGTGAGCTAGGCCTTCTTTACAAGGAAGAAAGTCTAAAGAGATTAAAGCCTCAACATGAGTACTGCTTTCTTCACAAGACCTTCCAAGAGTACGTGGCTGCTGCGTATATCGCAGAGAAGTTAGTAAATCAACAGTTTAAGGTTTTTGATAACATTCTCTTTGATGTCTTTGTAACGAAATATCCACAAGTGTTTATTTTTGTTTCTGGGATGCTGGGCGAGAAAGCAACTGTCCTATTCACCCAGATTGGCGAGGAGTTAAAGAAAACAAATGACTGGGACTGGAACGAGGATTGCAATAAGGAGGAAGCTACTTTCTTTATTCAAAGCTTTAGTGAAAATGGACATGCTGAACAAATGGCAGCTACTCTTTGTAACTTTATACCTTTTCCAAAGGTCATAACCCTTGATTTACGTCATTCTTCTTTTGCTGAGGTTTTAATGGCTTGCAAAAGCTTTTCAAATTTACAGACACCTGTTGAACTCTATGCTGATACGTGTTTTTGGGAGGAAGGAGGGTCTTGCGTATTGAATTATATAGAATCTTTTCCGAAACTGACAGTCGTAAGTTTTGTTTGTGGTAAGGATTCTTTGACGTCATCTGATACAGATCGTCTTTGCAAATGGTTTTCTGCGACCAAGAGTTTATCAGAGTTTACTTATAAACTCAGACTATATTCCACCTATAAGGAGTGTGACCCGCTGGTTCAAATTGGACATGGGTTGGCTTCATGTCGAACTCTGACAAAAGTAACGTTTGCTTTGCCTGGATATGCTTATAGCGAGGACTTTTTCAGTGCGCTTGAAACCGAATTTGCAACGCTGACGTCTGTTGTTTTCGAGCTACGTGGCTCAATGAAGTACACTGCAACACGAGCCTTACAAAATTTTTTGTCAAATAGATCCTTGAATTCTGTTTCTCTTTGTATTGTTGGAGTCGTGCTGGATTCGTTAGTCGCTGCTGTCAGTGAAGCACTTGCAAGGCAAACAGCTTTAAAATCTCTTGATCTACATCTTAGTGGACCGCTGAGTTCCTCTAGTGCCAGTTTGCTGGAAAAAGGGCTCACGAAAAATAGTTCTTTGAATTATGTAAGACTGTGTGTCCACGGTAAGCTCCCTGGTAACTGGCATTCTGTTGTGGAAAATCTTCGCTTGGCGAAAAAGTCCCCGGTTTGCTGTTCTATTTATCCAAACATCTTTAACAACGTAGCAAATAATGATTTTCGTCCTGTTCTGGTTAGGAAAGGGTTAAAAGTAAAGCAACACTTAACTGTTAACATCTGGGGTGAAATGAAATGCGAAGCAGCAGAAGCTCTTTGTGAAGTCTTGGCACCTTCCTCCATTACCGTTCTCACCTTAAACGTGCGTGGAAATTTGGCAAGTGAAGTTTCTAATTCCATTGTAAGGTGTTTGGAAGAAAACAAGACGCTGTCTTCCCTGTCCATCAATTTATGGGGCGAGTTGACAACAGAGGGAGGTATTGTTCCTTCCAGCCTTTCAAAAAACAGTCGCGTTCAGTTAAATGTGCATGATGTGCGTATAGGCCCAGCTGAGTCGAACAATATTCTTGTTATCACTACCGATAATTCTGCGGCATTGGGAGTTTTTTTCACTAACGTCAAGGATAGAAGAAAAGAAAAAGTCAGTCTTACAATCAATAACGATAGTAATGTTACCAAACAGTGGACACGTTGTCTAGGTGATGTTTTGGCAGAAAACACATCCCTGACCACGCTTGATCTTACAGTCAACAGCTGCTTCGTGGATGCAGATTTGGGCGAAAACCTTGGCGAAAGTTTATTGCAAAGCACTTCTTTAACATCTCTTAGTCTCGCGTTCAACTGTAGTAACATTAGAGAAGGATGGGAATGCAAACTGGGTGAGCGTTTGATCAAAATGGCATCTTTAACTACACTCAGTCTTGAAATAAACGGCGACGGCGAGTGGAAGGATAGTTTGAGTCCTACACTCAGCAGCCTTGACTATGTTGAGGAGAACCAGGAGAATTGTTTGAGTCCGACTAAACTGAGTAACGTGCTAGCGGCAATCAAATCATTATCCTCCCTTTCTGTTGCGATCCATAGTGAGAGCATGGGTTCATTTTGGGATAAGGTTGTAGGTGACTGTTTGATAAAATGCACGTCACTTGAGAAACTTAGTCTCACATTTAACGTGGGTAAAGCAGACATTTATGGCGGTCTTAGTGACCTTTCTTACGGCTTGATGTTAACAAGGTCATTAAATACATTATGTGTCGCAATTTTTATTGACGACCTTAATGATACGGGTTTTTCGAGTACGTTGGATAGTCTTACACAAGGTCTGTCAATGAACTCGTCAGTAGCTACACTGACATTAACAATAACTTTGGCAGCATGTCGAACAGATTATATTGGTTTGCCGATCGTGTTAGATTATAGACTGTCAATGAACAAGTCCATAACTACGTTAAATGTCACAATAAATGAGTGTGGTGATGGAGAATCGTTTATACCCCGGTGTCTACGCCGCTGTGGAGTGTTTGAAGGTTTGGCAAATAATACATCAGTTACCACATTCAATCTGACACTCAACAGTAGCAGAGAAGTGAGTGATGACTGGTTACCAGTCCTTTCCCACACCTTGATGGAAAACACCTCATTAACTACTCTGAGATTAAAAGTTAACAACCATTGTGCTACAGGTGAAAGTCGTTTATATGACTTTAGCGAACTTTTAATAGAAAGCAGATCATTATCCTTACTTGAACTCGATGTAAGTTTTTATGGAAAAGAGAGTGGGTGCCATAAGGTTTTAATTCAGTAGGAGAATACAGCTGAGATTTATGTGCTTTCCAGTCCGAAGGAACATATGTCAGTATCAAATGAAATGTAATCTACAATAGAAATGGGCTTAATTATTTATTATTTCGTAAAACTTGAGGCCACCGTGACAACCGACCCTTAAAAATGAGGATTCTAATTAAAAAGGCAAAATGGTCCATCTAAATATTCTTTCAATTGGACCCTTAGTGTTTGTTTCAAGTTTGGACATTTTCTTGTTTTCTCTGTTTGGAAATTACAACGACTCTACTTCGGTCCCGCTGACATGTTGGGTAACCATTCTAGTCTTCAATATAGTTCGCCGATCGCTATATGACTTTCTTCAAGTCATTCATATTCATTAAAAAGTTAGGCACAAATCCAGCTAAACGAATCTAATTTTTGCTGCCTTAAATTAGGGCCAACCGTGATCATTTGAAGGTCACAGAAAATCATTCTGTTTCAAGCCACATCACACACGTTTCCTTTGATACAGGGATATTTTCTTGTGGAAGCTCAACCTGAAGTCCGTTATGTTCACACTACTCTGTATAGCGTTAAGGTTACCAGATACCTTCAGGTGTGTCACACGTGCAGTCGAAAATGGCAAAACCCGGACACGTTCTTAGCGCTTTGACTTGCGAAAGACTAGAACAAATTAAACTAGTGAAAAACCAATCGCTTTGAGTTTTAGCTTTCGAAGGCTGATTCCGACGCACGCATTAAAAATCGTCTAAAAAACCGACAGTGCAAGTTGTATACAGCATAGTTTGAACATAACTTTGAAAATTGCACTTTGTTGCTCAGTCTCGTCAAGTAAAGCCTTAGTGAAAAACAAATTGCTTTGTCCTTTAGCTTTGGAAGGCTTATTCGGACGCACGCATTAAAATACCGACAGTGCAAGTTTTATACAGCATAGTTTGAATATAACTTAGTTTGAAAATTGCCACACATGACTTGTTGCTTAGTCTCGTAAAGTCTTCCATGGTCCATTCAACTTACCTTGTTGGGCGATGTAATACAATTCCATTCCTCGTGAATCTGTTTCAGCTTTTTAAGGTCCATTTATATGGAGAAAAGTTGTCCCGGGTAGAAGGGGTCAATCCGCCTCCTACCCGAGCTATCCTGGGTGAGCCACCTTTTCATACGTTCCCTTAACCCTTTAAGCCCCAAGAGGGATCAGCATCAAATTTCTCCTTGTAATATCAATGCTTTGTGAAACAGAGTGGTCATGAGAATTACGACCATGATCACACAAAATGAATTTGCTTGATATTTTATCAACTTCTCCCCACTACTTCGGTAGGAAATGAATAGGGGTAACAAATGAGAGTTCAAATTTTTGATCTTGTGGTTTAAAGGGTTAAAAACGTGGCGAACCGTGTAATTGTGAAAAAAAGTTTGCTTGGCTAGAAGAATGACCCGCCTAGCCGGTTCACCCAACGTTTCTCCATACAAACACTTTGGCTCGCCCAGCTGGGTCAACTCGCTCAAGACGAGACAACCAGAGCGTGCGCCAGCACTGTTGGCTCGGGCAAAGGGGTCAATTATTTTTTCCGTTGACTCAGCTTGAGGGTGACCCTCTTTTTCGGGACAACTTTTTTTCATATCAACGGGGCCTAAAGGGATAAGATAAAACTACAGTGTAGTGTTCGATTTGAGAGCATCAAGCGGCTGGTACTCGTCAGTGCTGTGAAGGAGTATGTCTGTGTACATATTTTGAAATTTTACATTGTTTTGAGTCTCAGACTGAACAGGCGGGATTAGCTCAGTCGGTAGAGGGCATGACTGTAGAGCGGGAGATCGCGGGTTCGATTCCCGGGGCTGGACCGTTACTCAGGGTCTTATAATGACTGAAAAATGAAGAGAATCTCTTTGCACTTCAAGCGGCCGATCCTTCGCGTGGCTCGGATGACCACTTAAAATGGCGGTCCCGTCTCCAGTAAGAGTCGTAAAAATAGTGTCCACGATTAGTACTTTCGTCGTAGATACATTTACACCCAAGTGGAGTTGTACACCATCTGGTCCAGTGAGGCCAAGGTTAATACAGCACGAGTTAATAGTAGTTTTAGAGTTTGATAAATATTGTAACTGATGATTGTGACTTCTACGCCATCTGGTCCAGTGAGACCAAGGTTAATAGAACATGAGTTACTAGTAGTTTTTTAGTTTGATGAATATTGTAACTGATGATAGTGGCTTGTTCGCCATCAGGTCCAGTGTGACCAAGGTTAATTCCACCTCCTTAAGTGCTGGTAGTTTTTGAATTTGACAAATATTGCAACTTATGATTGTGACTTTTACGCCGTCTGGTCCAGTGAGGCCAAGGTTAAAAACAGCATGAGTTGCTTGTAGTTTTAGCGGTTGTCAAATATTGTAACTCATGATTGATATAGTATTCTTATATTTCAATGGAGTTTGTATGATAGTGACAAATGTACAGAAAAGAAATTATAATTTAGGTTATATTAAAATATGTGAACTGTATTTCACTCTGATTTAGTAAAGTTAGCGTTAGGCCAAGAGCACGGATTCTTTTGTAAATCGACTGTATCGTTATTTGTGAATGCAATGAACATTCAGAAACAAGCAAGTGAAAGCAGTGCAAAATACCTTTAGCAACAAATGAGCCAAGTTTGTTTATTTAGAATGATGTTATTTAGTTTCATTTTTAACTTAATAAAATAAAGCTTTGCAAAGTAAAAATGCCTAGTATAAAGTTGTTTTTAGTAATCCAGATTATATTCGTATTCTAGGGATCGGTCAGGAACTAGTTTGTAGTCGAGGAACATTCGTCAGCGTGGGGGGGGGGGGTTGGGGGGGGGGAGATTCTCCTCTTCATCTCCTGTATGAGCCCCGATTTCTTGCTGGCTCCAGACCATCAAAGCTCATCAAAGAGAATAGGGAAGTGGTGTATTTGCCGTGTGAGTTTTATGGTGGCTACATGTGGCTCGTTGTACATTTAATGTTCGTTAACATACTGAAGTGCCTTTAAAATATTCACAAACAAATGCTCGAGAAAGTCCTGTTAAGAGCACAGTTATTATTCAAGGGTGAAGGGAGGAAAGGGAGGATACAATGTAGAACGAGAAGCGCGCGGTTCTCGTTCTACATTGATGCTCTCAGCCACGAGCCAGCGATGCTGAGGCGTTGGGCTTGAATCTTACACCTGTTCATTCTTAATCGTGGTAATGGACTGGAACTAGCTTACAATCGAGGCTCATGCATCTTATTTCCTCGCATTATCCTCGGCTGCAAGCTGGTTGCAGTCACCTATCAAGAATACGAATGCGCGGTCTGTTTAGTAATAGTGAGTTTATGCAATAGGACGGCAGAGGGAAGAATACGGCAAAACTCCGTCGTGTGTAACAAACGTGACAGGGTTATTACTGGCGTGTTTTGTCAGGATTTGCACTTAACATTAATGTTTTCTGCTCTCGTACAAAAAGACCTGTTTAAAGGAATGTAAAGTTTAGCGGAAAGTTTTTTCAACTGAGGGGAAATTATTATCACCCTTGTCCTGTTACGTAAGTTTGGTAATGTGCGTAAATGAAGCCTCTTCTTTTCGAAAATAGCATTCGTCATTTGCGCATCCCCCATAATACACCTTGTTTGCCCCCCAAAATTTTGCATAACGTTAGTTTTTTAATATCTCCTGGGTATTATAGTCATTCCAAGAGAAATTGAAGACAATGCGTATACAAAATGTTTGAGGGACAAACAAAGTGTATTACTGGAGATGTGCAAATGGCGAATGGAACCTACAATAGTTCCGTTTGTGAGGTCTAGCTGACATCGTGGGTGTGAAAGAAAAGAGACTGATATCAAACGGACGGGAAGGTGTCCTGCTTTATCATTTGCCACAGTGGTAAAAAACTCAAAGTGGCATTTAGAACGTGACAACTTCATTTCCTTCATCACCCTCGCGACACCTATGTCCGAAAAACAAAATTAATTCCCCTTCTCTTATAGGGTGTATATGTTGTGGTTCAATTTTGTCCTTGCTTTAAATTTTGTTTTCGTTTGTTTTTGGGTATGGTAATGTATGATAATGATTTTGAAACAAAAGAAAATAAAATTTAAACCAACGATAAAATTGAACCACAACACATATATAAATGCAAAATTTGCAATAAATTTACTCTACAGTTATAAAAAAAAAATTAGCCAAAAAGTCAGAAAAGTAATAATGGAATAAAGAATTATTCGCTGACGCCAATTCCTGAAAGCTGCGCAAGTTTGTATAGTCTATTATAACACCTTGTAACCCTTCTTTTAGTGACCTCTTTGTCCTTGCCGTCTTTTTTTGTTTGTTTGTTTGTTTGTTTTGTTTAATTTTTTTTAAGCTCTATCAGTTCTGCGTATTATTCTGGAGCAAACAAGTAGCCTGTTCCTAGAGTGCGTAGCAAGCGTTTCTGTGCGGTTTCGGAGCAAAGAACGAGGAACAAGAGCGCGGAGTTCAGATTGTGGGGACTGGAGCGGGTTAGATTCCTACACGGGGAAAAGGAGTGGGGATCCTACTGCGTCCCCCAGCGAGAAGTAGGCTTACATTCGGGGCTGGCATGAAGCTCTGCTGCTTTCTTTTGTTTGTGTTTCTTTTTCGTTTTGTTTTTTTCTCTTTTGCTGCTTGTTATTGTCACTTTTTAAAGTTTTGTTGTGTCTTCTTCTCTTGTACGTATCACATTAGAATGCAAACAAATAGTTCCCTTTTCCTCACTTGAAAGTCTTCTGTCCGCTCTTTGGTAATTTCACGTGATACATCATGTGACAGCGTTTGACCAATAAAATCATCCCTTCATACTTCTGACGTAGCTAAGGGGGCCGCGGCGGAAGCGCTGCAGAGAAGGGAATCTGTCTAATTTCTTGAGGAATTTTCAAACTTCTAGCTGTTTTTATCAGTCTTGCAGTCATGGGCTGATTCAATCCTCTTACCAAGCGTTTCATTATGCCGAGCTGTGACAAGATCGAAGCAAAGGTGGCCTCCACGTGGCTTCAGTTTCGTTGCAGGATTCCCGAAGTTTAGGTAAGCTTAATAAGCTTAATCTAACTTTCTCCCTTTGAATTCACAAGGCCTATCCGTTGTTTTTACGTTCGAAAAGAAAACTGCATCTTATCAGTTTTCTACTGGGCCCTAAGGCATTTGCAGACAATGATCTTTCTACAGTCGAGTGCACTCAGACAGGTCGCGTGACTTTGAAGAATTGAAATGCGTCTTGCATTGTAAATTACATCAGAACCAGCCACACGTTAATAATACAGCTTCTAAGTTTTCCGACACCTTATTTACTAGAAGTTTCCAATGGAAAGTGAAGTACTGCGAGTAAAGCATGGCATTCCAAATAGTTTGAATTAGTTGCAGTTTATTTCAATGGTTGATATTTGACAACACAACACGAGACGAATTGAGGGCGATCGATAAAAACTGAACTTTGAACCAAAATATAATGTAGATTTAAGTGTTTGTATCAAGCTACATTGTATAAAAGTCCGTAAGAATAAATCAGCATATTATGTGTCTGAAACCTGTCCACGATAAGGTTTAGAGCACGCGAGCGATGCGTGGAGTGAGTGTGAGTGAATTTCCAATCGAGTCCAATATTAAACTGGTTCATAACGCGTACTCTTCGAGAGCGTATCAAATCATTTTCAATCTTTGGTTCCGTCGTGTATGAAACTTTTTACTACTAAGAAAGAACAATTACCTTGTCACAATTTCCAGAAAAGCTCTTAATAACTAAAACAATTTATCAATTAAGTAAATACAGCAAAGCCTGGCTGAATACAAATTTAGCCAAAACACCGACTTTATTTACTGTAGAGTTCCAGGAATTGCTTCAAATATTCTGAGAAACGTATTGCTTGAATTCCCGGGAATTTTTTACCTTCACTTGTATTCATACTCTTCGCTTGCAAAAACATGGCTTTCTATACGAAACAGGACTTCTCCTGGGCTTTAAGTTTTCCATATCCCATGTAACCGATGGGCGAGTGTTCCTTGGGTTAATTTCTTTCTGACTCAATTGACTGGGAACAAAGGGTGTTACGAAAACTAAGACCCTCGAAAACTAAGACCTAAGACCCAAGACCCGTCTTAGTTTTCGAGATTACGAAAACTAAGACCCCATAAAATCGAATCTGTCGAAATATTAAGTCAAATTGTAACTGAAATAGGTCTAATCTGTCAAATTAGCTTCTGTCTGATTCTTTCCACTGAGTTTTAGGTCAATTTTAACAGTAAATTTAGGGGTCTTAGTTTTCGTAATTTCGAAAACAAAGACCCCTCTCTCTTAGCAGCAGTATAGGTGTTCGATACACGAAATGTTAACTGAGAAATTGCAGAACTGTAATGGTTTGTTTACAACACATCACTATCCCCCTTTTCTAAAATTCTGACAGAGACAAAGAATTTTCCTTTAATTTCCGACAGTAGCGTGAAGCATTTATAAACACTGACGTTTTAAAATTCAGACAAGCGACATGGGACCCCCTCAGGCAGCGCCTCATACTTGAAATCGAAGCAAGTACAACTGATCGATGTATGGCTCATTCGCTACAATCACTGTAAGCTTATAAAAATGACTTTCTTTGTACCCATTACTAAGAACGGTATGTTTAAACTTACAAAATGTGGACTTCCTCCTAAAGGTTTCTGTATTCTACACAGTGTAACACGGATTATGGTTAAAACATATAATTGCAGCTGTAACAGGAAGATGACTATCTTTGGTGATGCAGCAACGTAATATAAATAAAGATTTCAGAGTTTTATTTGGAGATATTTTTATTGTGCCTTTCTTGGGTCCAGCCTTGAGATATTTGACAGTGCAATGTGCAGCCCGGGGTGGGGAAATTTGGTTGCATTTGACTGGAATGATTTGCCCGTGGGCAGGGAATTTGACTGCAAATTTTAGAAAAATGTCAAATCCCCACCCCATGACCTGCCTCCCCCACCCCCACCGGTTTTACATTGATAGGTGTATAAGTGAGTCTAGTCTAGCACATCAGTTTCTCAGGGGTCAACTATCTCGACTGTCTCACACGCCACGGCGGTAAGAGGCAAACTTACCAAATTTTCTCTTCTAACTTTACAAGGCGTTTTTCAATTCTCGAAACCCGACATCTAAACTTATTCTTCTTGCGATACATGTTCGCCTCCTTCGCCCTCTTCATAAAAAATTGCCACACAGTCAATGATGACCACGCCATCTTCAACCTCAGCAACCTCAGTCATTGTGAGAAAACGTGTAAGACCTTGAACACAAATCGAAAAGCGTGGTAAGGTAACTTGAGAAAACTCATTGTCATTGGATGCAACAACAATCACATTGTATATTATCGATCCTCGACCATTAACTGACACAAAATGACGCACAAATGGTGTAATCATTTACCGTTATGTCTCAAGACTTCTAAATATTAACTTTTATTGACCTTTATGTCCTACTGTGTTTTGTTTTGTGTATCGTATTGAAAGGAAAGTGCCAATAAACGGTACCGTAATACCATGAACAATCTTATTTCACCGAATACCATCAGCCAAAATGATGAAAATCCCATGCCGCAGAGCTAGATGATACCACAATACCGCATGTTAAAATTAAAATTCCCAAAATACCGCTTGAAAAAAAGCCCAATACCGCAATACCATAAACCCCCATGTCCCCTTCATACATGTATGAACGAGTACAAGTTAGTCTAACAGGCCTGAAAGAATGGCCAAAAAATAAACATGATTGTAATGTTTTTCCAGTACCTAGCCTTTCTCTTGGTTTTCATATAAACAGCCTAGTTAATGAGGCTAATGGATATAACTGAGAGCATGTGTTGAAAACACTGTGAGCTTTCATATCTTTCACTTCTAAAATGGCCAGGAAATATGACCCAGTCTCTGATGCAGCCACCTCATAAACTGCCTAATCACCCCTAGAAATGTTACTGAAAAATGCTGAGTGTGATAATGTACAGTGTAACGGAATCTGCAGTTGGTGTGAAGTAAAAGAATATGACATTTCATCACAGACACATGCTTAAGTGAACCCATTCACTTGTGGAAATCTTGAAGGAACGTGAATCCATAATGTGTGGTTATGGATGCATAAGATGTGAATGGTTTTTCTACCACCCAAAAAAATTAATTCCATTAGCCCACTGGAGGCCTGTCAGTGGGTTTCACTATTATAGACTAAACTGCAGAATCATGGGCTCATTAATTAGAATACAACTAATAAATTACTAATTTCCTCTTATAAGCGCCGGGCTCTTGTTACAAATTTTGGCTAAAAGAAGACAGGGGCAGTTATAATGGGAGAAGGTTGCTGGTTAAGTTTTCTTTTCAATGAATTGTAGCTTTGTTTTGGCTAAATTTTTAATAGAAAAGCAAATGATGTAAATGTTAAGCCAACATTATTACCTTTCATCATCTGTTAAAAGAGTGGTTGGTAATTAAGTGTATCATAGCCCCATTACACACTTAACATGTGTGCATGTATTGGTTTGCTTATTTTTTTTTTATCTCATTATTGTTTCTCTCATCAATTAAGTAGAAATAGAAAAATAGAATAGGGATTTTTTTGGGTAGAAGAAGTTGATGAGCATTTTTTCTGGGGTGGCTTGATTTAAGTAGTGATTTTTTGGGGTAGAACAACAATCTGAAGGTTCAGATGGTATGATGAATAAACAAACACAAACATTCAATTTCTGTTTCGTGTTATATCATTTAAAGCCTTCTGCAAATTTTTAAGGCTTAGAAATTCCACATGGGATTTTTGGGGGGTTAATTTTTGGTCCAGGGATTTTTTGGGGGATTTTGTTGGAAGCCCTAGGGATTTCTTTGGGTTTTGATCCCCATCACTTGAAATCCAGAGTATCTCCAGCCCTGGGGGAAGGGGGAGCTTATTCACAAGAGGCGCTTGTTTGATATGACATACATGTATGGCCTATGAGGTGGGCACCTTTTTGAGGGAGGTGGGTTATTAGAGCGTGAGTTTATTCCAGGAAATAGAGTAATTGCCTAAAATGTGGCAATGTGAATATCAAAGTCCTGTACATGATACAAGTGTGAAGCTACAAACCATCATGGAATTGAAACAACTCAAGGAAGGTGTTACAAATACAAATGGAAAAAGGATTTTATTTTCCCTTTTTGAAATCCTGGAGTCACATTTGCAAAGCCTACCAGTCAAATGCCCTGCTACAGTAAATGTATGTCTTAGCTGATCATGAGTGTGGGGTGGGGGGAGGTTTATTGACTGGGGAGTGACAGTAGCATCAGACAGGACGTGCAGCAGCATCGGTTCAAAAGTAAAAATAAATTATATGTAACTATGCGAACTGCTCTTTGTCTTGACTTGTTGGTCTTGATTTTATTATGAAGGTTACTGCCACCAATCAGTTCAAATTTCATGATGTGTGGGTTTCAGAGGTCAAGGATCCATGTACCAAGCTTTGGTAAGTTATTTTGCATTATTTAATAATTTTGTCACAAAATCAGAATTTTATGACTGCAGAAAAAATGTTTAGTGTTATGGTATGAAAATTTCCTGGGGTGACAGGGCTGGGGTTGGGGGAAGGGAAGGGAAGTTTGGGTAGGGGTTCAATGCCAAGGTCCTCAGACCTTCATCCTATTTAAACAAAAAACCATTCCCTTCACCACCCTGTTTTCTTGGCCCGATCCATTTCCTTGAACTGGCATCATGGGATTAAATTTTTTTTAAAAAAAATAATGGTATCACACTTGTAGACTGTGCATCGCCAAATATTCACACCCTGTTAATAGTGAATTTTTATAACTTGTTTAAGACTTAAGACCCCCCAACCCTAAATGAGGGATGTCTACACTTCCCACTGTGGGAAGTACATGTATTCCTTAGTAGCCTCCAGACAGTGGAGTCCCAGACTCCCCTTCTTCTATCAGCATACCCCTGGGATAAATACACATTCAAAAAAGCATTAATGCAAATAAAGTTGGGATAGAAAGAGGTTATTATTTTGAAAAATACACCAGTGAAAAGAATTAGATTGTTTATAATTATGTATTTTTAATGCAAAGTTACCCTGAAAGTCCCAGCCCATTTAGCACTACTTAATTCATATCTTACCTTGTGGCTTTTTATTCTGGTGGGTTTTGATATTTTTGTGGTTTCCATCAAGATCCACATACAACTGTAAGAAGTAAACCTGACCACCTCCCACTCCCCCCTCAAGTAAACACATTGCTGCAAAAGCTATGACCTCCATAACTGTAATAACTTAGAAAGATAATACAGTATTTATTTTGTTGTATGTGACATCTGTTCTCTGGTTAAACCTGGCCCCAGTTGTTCAAAAGGTGGATAACGCTATCAGGGTTGTCAAAAGTAGCCGGCTGCCGGCGAAAATCGCCACCTGCTTTGTTAGTATCGGCCGGCTACTCTGCTTGGCATTTCATTACAGATGGCATTTTTTAAATAAAATATCCCTAGATTGCCGCTTACTTTGACAACTCAGCCGTCTACTTCAAAACTTTCTGACAACCCTGCGCTATCCACTGGATAAATCTCAATCCGCTGGATAGAGATTCATCTATAGCACTATCAAGCGTTTGAACAACTGGGGCCAGGACTATAATATTGTTTTAAACCTTGTTTGGTTCAGAATTTCCAATCTTTCTTAGCCCGTATTAATCATACAGATGTACAGTGTGTAGGTGACAATGAAATTCAGGTTTACCCTGAGAACAGATTTTACTCACAACATTTTCAACTGTTGGTTTACCTGTATTTTGACTCAAACAAAAATATAATGTTAACATTCCGAAGGAGAAAAACCAGACTGGACCAATCCCAAAAATCAGTTGTTACAAATTACAAAAAATCACCAATCCATGAATTATATAAATTAAACTTCCAGAAAAAGAAAATGTCAAATGGTACATGTACTTGAGAACATTGCACCTTTATTTAGTATGCATACTTTCTTTCTCTGTTCCTGTTGTAGTGTTCATGTCTGCGGTGTTAAAGGATTTTTAGGATTCCTGTGATATCCAGGCTGATGGAGGTAAGTGTTGGTCAAGTGAAGGTCAATATTATTTTTCTTGGTATCTTGCAAGTTGTCAGGTTTGAGGTGTGAGAAGTTCTAGTAATGGTTCTGAATGTTGGTGTAGGGATGTTAGTCATGTCAGACTCTGGATCAGGGGAGGTCTGATTTGAGCCCCCTCTGCTCCATCTGTTGAGCACTATCCATAAGGGAAGAAACTTTTCTGGGGTGGGTGGGTGGGGGAGGGGGGGTTGAAAGGAAGTTTGGTTTGGTCTGTGCTGATAACACCCTTCAATTCTGACCCTGTTTAAGGCAAAATGCGTTCATATTGCAACCCTGTTTAAGACACTAAATAGTGAAATTGAATAGTGTTTTAAGATTGAAGATCCCATAAACCTCTACCATGCAGAACAGCACATACTGAGCAAGCCAAACATGGAAGTCCCTCCCCCTGCCGAGTACATGTGTCAATCGGTAAACTCCCAAGGGACCAGTTTCCATATATAATATGGAGGCAAAGAAACAATGCATTTGCTAATGATGACATATTGTCAAGACATCATGGCTAATTTCGGTTGCATGCATGATAGATCTACTGTTTACCCATTTTTCAGGACAATTTTTCAAAAGGTGCACAAACGTACTTGTCAACCGTTTCAACTTCTTGTGCTGAAGATCAATTTCACTACAATATTGTTCAAAAGCAATATTACTAAATTCTCAGTGATTCTAATAGTGCTTAATTAAACATTCCTTTTGTATGTTACTGCAAGCACAAATTTTAAGACAGATAATACAACTATAAAGTATTGTGAGTATTTTTTTCTGTCTTTTTGCATTTCCTCCTTTTATTGAACAGGAATGATCTGTAACATGTAAACGATGAAACGTGATCTATGACATCAAAAAATTATTTCGAAGAAAACAACTGACTGGTGTCATGATCTCAAAAGATGTGTGTGTTATCAGGAATTACAGAAATATACATTGTTTTTTTGGGTTTACCTATGTGTAAGAACCTGTGAACTTTTTCTTTGTTTTGCACCTTTTGTTTTTCTAGGTTCTATTGTGTTTACTTCTTTGTTTTCTTTGTTTTTTGTCACTTGTGAGTTTAATAGGTTCTTACACCAATGCAAGGTTGAGCCGTTTTTTCAAAAATATAATAATATAATACGTGGACATGAGCAAAAAAAAATGGTAAAGAAAAATTTTGGATAGTATTTCTTTATGAGCTTTTAATTCTAAATATCTGGTAAAAAGGTAACATTATCCAACTTATTAAAAATCTAATATAGATTTTACTAACAACATAATTTTTTCCAAGTTTTGTGGCTCACAGCCACTTTGATCTCAGTCAAGGAACTATTTCTCACTTTACCTCTCTTCTCACAGGTCTTTAATTTTGTATTTTTTTTTAACTGGCTACATACCATTAGGAGCAATGCTGTGGTGGACCTCCAGGGAGGGGTGGGGGAAGCTGGGCTGGGAATAGTTCTTGGCAATTCATGGTACTCAAACCAAGATAAGCTCTTGCTGTGTGGGCTTCAATGGCTTGTTTCAACCCTTTAAGCACCAGTATCCACATACAAATTCTCCACACTGATCTCAATGCATTTCTTAACCCTTTAAGCCCTAAGAGTGATCAGCATCAAATTTCTCCTTGTAGTATCACTTCTTTATAAAACACAGTGGTCATGAGAATTGAGGACCTGATCACACAAGATGAATCTAATTGATACTTCAACAAATTCTCCCCACTACTTCTATTGAAAAAAAATAGGGACAACAAATGAGAATTTTAATTTTGATATTAGGGTTTAAAGGGTTAAAAGAATTGCATGCAGTTAGGAGAATTTGATTAATGATCAAAGCATTTTCCCTGAGTGATCATTTTATTCATTTCATATCACTACATAGGCAGTTTACATACATGTAGTCCACACCTCTTAGTATGAATAAATCATACTAGGCCAGTCCACGTGAAGTGTTACATTACATAATTAATTGACTTAACACAGTCTATCATTTAAGAATAAAGGGGGAGGGGAGGGGAGGCTTAAAAGAGAGCGGGGGCTTAATAACTTTCTTCCCTTGAAAAGGGGGGGGGACTTATTTGGTAGGGGGCGGGGGGTTAATAGAGGATTTAATTATGGTATAGATATATACATATACATGAGACATAACTGGTAGCCCAAACTCAAAACATGTTCTGCATGTTTTCCTAGTCAGTTTTTTCAGTCCTCTTGCCGACAGAAAAGCAGTGGAAGACAATGCTCAATTAAAGTTTACAAGAACTTACTATTAAAAAGGCTTTTTAATAACCTGAGATCAGGCTCTATTTTTGTTTCACTTTGTAAATAACATTCTGGCAGGCACGCCGAAACGAAACGGGAAATTTTAGCGGGACTACGTAAGAGAGAATATATGAGAACTGCTAAAATTGAGCGTGATCTCAGGTTAGCTTTTTAATAAACCCTTTAATAAATTTATGCCACTCTTCTTTTAGGAATTGTCATCCTTTCCTAGTACAGCCTCTACATCACAGAAAGACCATGAAAGCAATTCAGAATCCACTTCCTCCAAGATATTAAGAGTAACTCTGTTAAGCAGTGAATGGAGATCAACAAAAGGAGGCTTGTCAACCATCAACCGAGAGCTGGCCATTCAGTTGGCAAAACATCCCAGCGTGAAGGTCAGTGTTTATCTCCCTCAGTGTAGTGAAGAGGATAAACAAGTTGCCAGAGATCACAATGTCCGCCTTATTAAAGCAAGAGAAATGCCAGGTCTAGAACCCAATTTCTGGTTGTCTTGTCTGCCAGAAGACCATGCTGTGGACTGTGTGATAGGACATGGGGCTGTTCTTGGTCGGCAAGTACAGTTTATCAAGCGAACTCATCCTTTCTGCAAGTGGATTCAGGTTGTTCATACCGCTCCAGAAGAACTTGGAATGTATAAAGAATATGAAGAACGCATTTCCAAAGGTGAGAAGAAGCACCAAGTGGAGATTGAACTCTGTAAACTGGCTGATCAAGTTGTAGCAGTTGGACCCAAGCTGGCTGAAGCTTTTTCAGGTTATCTACGTCCCTTTGGAAAGGATCAAGATGTTCTCAATCTTACCCCAGGCATTTTCTCTGAGTTTGCTGATGTAAAGCAAGCCTCTCAAGAAATAAGTTCATTCAGTGTTTTAGTGTTTGGACGTGGCGACAGTGAAGATTTTCAGCTGAAAGGGTATGATATCGCTGCCCAAGCCATTTCTGAGTTGAATGACATGACCTACAAACTTGTGTTTGTCGGAGCAACAAGCGGAGAAGAAGAGAAAGTAGCCGACCTGCTTCTCAAGCAAGGCATTGATCGCAGTCAACTCAGGGTGCGTCGTTTTAATGAAAGCAGAGAGAAGCTAGCCCAGTTGTTTTGCGAGGTAGATCTTGCTATAATGCCATCACGAACTGAGGGCTTCGGTCTAGCTGCCCTTGAGGCTTTATCAGCTGGTCTGCCTGTGCTGGTCAGTGGGAACTCTGGTCTTGGCGAGGCTTTCAAGAAAGTTTCGTTTGGTTCAAACAGTGTTGTGGAGTCGGAAAATCCTAAAGATTGGGCCAATGCAATCAAAGCTGTTCGTCAAAAAGACAGAGAGATGCGACTTGACGAGTGTAAAACCCTCCGTAAAAAATACGCTAAAAAGCACAACTGGCGAGATGACTGTAATAGACTTGTGGAACAAATGTTAACCATTTCTGGAGGTACTTTCTGTACATTTTACATGCATTTTATGTGTTCACAATTGTTGTTTAGTTGATTTTATGCTGTTAACTGCTGCATTTGGAAATTTACGAAGTTACGCAACTACATGTACAGTGTAACTAGTGCATGTAGTGAAAACCTGAGCAACACAGTGAGTCATGTAGCATTAATTCATGGTCATTCAAATTTCATCGCAATTTTGCCAACTTGCAAAATTTGTTAAGCCGTGCATGTGAATTTTCCTGGAGTTGACGAACGGAAAATTTTGCTCTCATGTGTTTGTACAAAAGTTTGAATTAAGAAAGGGCAAAGAAATGCACGGAGTTGTTGTTTTGTCGGAATGTTTCACCAGTAAAATTTTTTTCTTTTTTAGTCGTGGCGGTTTCGAAAATCATGCATTTTTCCCTAGAATTTTTCGGATTATCTTCGTCGCCTCAAGCAAGTTTTTGGCCGAGGGCGTGTAGGTCCAGGGGATTACATAGGAATTGAACAAGCATACATAAAGATATATGCATATACTTCAGTTTTCTTCGCGGTGGAGTCGATTGAAACATGCTTTGTGCCAATCGTTGCTAATCCTTCGTCTCTCCAACAACTCGATTTAGGCCATTGGAATCGTCCAACCACAAGCAGGATCGTCTCAATCGCTGAAAAGATTTTGCAACGACTTGCTTGATAGCGATCCTTCCACTAGGAACGCTTGTCTGCATTTGACTAATTCATGATCAGTGGATTGGTTAAACCCTGTTTAAGTCAACGGGCTTAAGAATTGTTTTTTTTTTTTGTAGATACCATGGCTGATGAGCAGAATTTATCTAAGAAAGCCACTGTGATCTGTCATGATGAAAAACCCTCTCCTTCTGGAAAACGTCTACGTAAAGGTACACTTTAGTTCAATCTTACAAAAATGAACATTATACACCGAATGCAAATATGGCGGACCTCTCGGCCGGCCCGGGTCTAGTTGCGCGAAAGCGAGGCTAGTTAGGCCTCGAGAGTTTTGTTTTGACTGCTCGTCTTAGCGATTGAGTCGATCGATATGGTTTGCATCGAGTTGTTGCATGCCTGAGGGCCACCAAAACGAAGACTTTCCTCTAGCTGGAATAGCCTTTACTTTCCCGAGATCTTTTCACAAAGAAACTTAGGGATTCATGCGATTCGGCGCGGCGATGGGAAGCACTTTACAGCGAAACTGTGCTCGCTCACTTGCTTTAGATGAGAAGACTCACGAAAGTATTTGAATGAAATAATTTTCACAAGAGATGGTGCTGTTCCAAGATGTTTGCATGGTCTGTTATTTATCCAACAAAAAGTAAACATTTTCGAGAACGGGAGCATCCGCGGTCGACCGTAAGATCTTTTAGATTTCACGCTGAAAACAGCTGCATTAAAATATAACAACAACAATAACAATCGCCTGTTAATCCTACAAGCATGACTGTGAAACTATGTAAGAACCAGAAGAAAGCGACATATTTCAAGAACAGTCCTTAAACAAAATTCGCTGAAAAAACTAACGGAGGAACCGTTGCCAACTGAGAAAGTAAGAAGAAGAAAAAAGGTTCTGGAAGAAAAAGAGCGTGCAAGTATTCGAGCATTGTATTTGACCTTGGGCGTGATCTATTTTAGCAACTTGTTGAATGGTTTCGAGATAAACTAACAGCGATTTTCCAAAAATTGCTTCTTTTATGGCACTGCTCAAACTCTTGAACACAGGATCGTGAAGACTGTGAAAAAACATTCGCCCTTGTTGTTTGTCGTTGTGTCCCTGAGAGCGCCTAAAGATTGGTAAGTCGCGACGGCGGATTCACTCGTTCTCGAGGATATTTACCTTTCCTTGGTAAGAAAACGGACAAAGCAAACTTGAAGCAGAACCATGAATCTTTCAGTTATTCACCCATTCCAATAGTTTCGTGAGTCTTCTCTTCTGAAGTGAAGCGAGCACACTTTCGTTCTTTTAAAAAATAACTCCGTGATAGTAGAGTGCCCTAATTCGCCGCGCCGAATCGCTTGAATCCATTTCTTTCTTCGTAAAGAACTTTGGCAAAGCGAAGATAATCAACTTTCGTCTCTGCTGGAGTTAAATCTCCTATTTGATGGCTCTTAAGCACGTAACAACTCGAAGGAAACCATATCCATCGACTGAATCGCTAAGACGCGCAGTCAAAACAAAACTATAGAGGCCTCACTAGCCTCGCTTTCGCGCAACTAGACCCGGGCCGACCGAGAGATCCGCCATATTTGCATTCGGTGTTCATATAAGAGGAAATCTTATTGAGTACTCAATGTGGAATAACTGGATTCACCGGTAATGGCCAAAAATAGGAGTTTTTTATTCGCATAAGCAAGTATGTCTGCAGATCATTTTTTATACGGATCTAAACGTACTATCGAAAAGGGGATAAACTTGAAAAATTGAACGTTTTTCAGTTTGGCTTATCTGTGCCTTCTCTTTTATTTGCTGTGGCCTGTTTCAACCTTTTTGAGCTATTTTGAAAAAATAGCTCATATGTCAGTGGTGTGAGCGTATGTATCTTTGTGGCTTTGTATCTTTGTAACTTTGTATCTTTGTATGTTCGGATGTTTGCTGCAAGAGCCAATAAGGTTGAAGGTACTATGAGTTGATGCTTAGGAACCAATGAGATCTTGGCATCTACTTAAACATGACATTGCTAAAGGTCGAACAAGGGCACTTTGAGACCGCCATCTCGATTCTTCACAATTTTTTCGTCTTTTATTACGGCTACAGGTGTTTGGAAACATTATATTAAATATCTTCATGATTCAAACGCTGTGTTCAGTGATTCAGATGTTTAAGGGTTCATATTTTAGTGTGGATGCTATCTCAAGACATTTCTGATCGAATTCGGCCATCGCGAACGGTACTGACGCACGTATTTATGAGTTGTGTGTTCACCCGCTTCCAAGTAGAGTATAAAAGATCATATATTTTCAAAGCTCTTCCAGTGAAGCAATAATTGATATTTAGATGTGGACTTTAACTTGAAAGTATGCAGCCTATAAAATGTGGTTTTACAAGTTTGAAAGGCAGCTTATTTTTTTTAAAGCTGTACCGAGTATTATTAATCCTGTAAACAAGCTTTAAAAATATTACTCTCTCGCTTACAAAGTTCAACAGACCTTTTTCGTTCCGGCAAAACAAAAAAATAATAATAAGTGAACAACATGATACATCCTTCCTGCATACTAAGCATTATAGTTATTGAAACGTATTTTATTTAGTAAAGATGAGTAACTGAAGTAGAAACAGTAGCGTTAGGGAATAAAATTGGAAGAAGCTAGTTGACACAATAATTATATACTCTTTTAATGAGTGGAGTAACATGATATGAGCCGAAATATATTTCGGCAGTTTGATAATTTTCTTGGAAGTTGATAAATGTTAAACTATCAACCTTGACATGGCATGAAACATAATTAAATTGCAGATGTTGTAATGACGCCGAGGTGATTTCTTAAAATCGTTGAGAAAATTTTGTAGTTAACAATTTGCGTTTTTTTTTTACGTACGAATTGTAAAGGACCAAAGACCAACATCTTCACGTGCAAATTGTGTGCATGAGTTATTTTTATAATTCTGTTTACTAGATTACCGTGTGATAACTCGAATTCCCTCACGTACGAACCACGAAAGGGGACAAAGTCCAACACTTTCACGTGCCAGTTGTGTGACTGTACATCTCATGCAGATTGGCTTTTCACAATAATAATAGTAACTTGAACGTATGAAGACCTGTTTCGTTTTGTAACCAATGCCTTAAAAAAGGCTCATGTCTTTTAAGAAGTAATACCTTTTAAAACATGAAGAAATAAGTTGCTGGAGTTAAGGACTGTTTCACTGAGTAGAATCGCACGTGAAAACCTCGTGAATTGTGATGATGCAACCATCTACCACAATGATAAGAATCCTGGTGTTTCTTAACTACTCGAATTCGATGAGTCGCATTTTGGCTTAAGAAACTGCGAGGAAACCTTAGAGTTTTCCTTCTAATCAACGTTTGGTGAGTAGATATTTATTTTACTTTAATAATTTGTTAAAATTGCACCAGATGTAACAGGGAAAGACAGAGGAAAGTGAATATATAGCTCGAGGATCGTCTCAGCTGAGCGTTTCGTGTTTTCATTTATGTGCGGCAATAGCCAATTTCGCACAAAAACCCAGTCTACACTTAGGACGAAAAAGGTAGATTTATCAATCTTGGTAAGGTTACACTGAAGCATTAAAGTTACACTGAAGCATTCAAAATAGCTCATGCACGTTTAACGTGCCTATGTTTTCAATATTTTTGGCGGTTATTGTTACCATATGTGGTTTAAGTTAAGTTTTTTTTTCTCTTCTTTTCTTCGAAAGGTTTTTCTCCGGTTACCCAGGTTTTTCTTTCATCGTCAAAAACCAGCAAATTCAAATTTGATCCGGAACGGACAAACGCTGGTCACGTTCTTACCGGCGTTGCTAAAACGAGGGTAAGGGTAACACCAAGGGTAAGGGTAAGGGGGAGGGTGGAGGGTGGAGGGTAAGGGTAAGGGTGGGGGTGGGGGTGAGGGTAAGGGTAAGGGTAAGGGTAAGGGTGAGAATTGTTGTGGGAATTCAAATTTAGATTTTCATCCAAAATTTCTCCCTCCCCCAAAATTGTCTTCTTTATACTTTATATTTCATTGAATTTTACAATTCGTACGTCTTGGACTTGGCGCGGTTTGAAGACCATACATTTGCCTTTTTTAAGGGAAAGTGTTAGATGTACAGTTTGTTCGTCTCCAAATGTGACATATCTGAAAGATTGTCGGCATATTTTTTGAAACATGAGGGACTGTGGACGTTCTAAGATTACATGAAAAGGTGGTTTGCTTTTTAACCCTTTGGCGGATCACCTCGCCAACCCAGTGTCCCTCATACCCATATAGACAGTCCATTAGTGTACAGAGAACGATCGAAGACTATATTAATCCATGCCTTTATTCAAGCCCTTCAAGAGCAAAAAATAAATTTGC